CAACTGAGCAATCCAACGTGTACGCTCCAATACAGTGATTTGTATAAAGACTTGCGCACTTTCAGCATTGAAATTTCTATCAGCATAGCACAGGTCGGAGACAGCATGTGTGTTTATTGTAACATTAATTAATTAATGAATATGATTATGAATAAGTTGTTATTTTTTATTTTATAGTTATCTTTTTGTCATTTATCGACTGTTTAAATACGTTGATTGTCAGAGAAATCAATGACATATATAGCCTTATATTGGACCAAACACTTTACCAAGCTTTATGCCAAACATAGGAACTCGCTTAACTCGAATACTCGGATAACTCGAAGTTTCCCAAGGATCCGTCAACTTCGAGATAACGAGGTTCGACTGTATTATATAATTGCAATATATATATATCGTGATACACTCTTGGCGTTTGTGACACCCCTACAAAATTGTCCCTATATATTAAATATATGATTAAGTTTCATAACATTCTGACCTCAACTTATTATAAAATTGAGCACATCCTTCCTATGACAATATGTGGGGATACGTATCGCAATATATTCATTCTGTGTTGCAATATATCGTGATACACTCTAGTTGGCGTTTGTGACACCCCTACAAAAAAGCATGGCAGCTTCCTAATCACAGTCATGTATATCAACTGATCTAAATAAAGGACTCGTACTTGTAGGACCCTCATCCTACTGTCAAGTTGAAGCATAATAATGGATATTTTCCTGAACAATCATTTGATACTATATCAGAAGATTATGTTCTATGGAAGCTTTGTTTTCTCTCAATATATCGTTTGAGGACCTGTTTTTGTACCCTGACATTTTGCGTAGCTCTGCATGTACTGCAAGGTTTTGGACATCATCAATTTCTTTTGGGTACAGTGGTGAAAGTAAACGCTTAAGTATTTGATTTCTGCAAGAATTTTAAGAAAATGAAGCAAAAACTAGTAATTTTAACATTGTTTTCACAGAAACATGCGGAAAAGCAGCTTTTCTACTATTACCTTTTTATTGGATTATAAAACAATAGAAATTATACAGGGTACCTGGAAAAGGTAAAATTTTGACATAATTTATATTGCAACAACTTATCATCGTCTGCTTAACAAAATTGTGTGATGCATAGGTCATGTTGTCACTATTTCGTCCAGCTATTCCACAGGTATACAAATATTTTCTTAACATTCAAATCTGTACGCAACATCTCGTGGATGATACAAGTAGATTAGCTGGTCCTTTGATAAACATGAGTTATATTTTTCATATTCCCTGCGGGCACTCTTAATATTATCCAATTATAACCTTTTGCTGAGGTCGATACCTGGATTTATCGACCCGAAAAAAGATATATTGACCGAGGACGAATTGTTTTATTATTTTCACCGGGACGGTGCGTTCGTTTTGAGACACATCATAATTCTATGTTTAGAAACACTCAGTCCTTCAACAACAGTCATGCGCTCCAAGTCAATATCGGTTTTTATCTGTGGACACGTGATCCACTCCTGGCCAATCACTTGTCGGAAATAATAATACGAAAATAATAAAACACAATATCATACATTTGTAGTTGTTGTCATCAGACCGTGACCAGAGTTGTATTTGTAATATATATATACGTCTCTGATCAGACAAATTGAGCAATAGGCTTGCAGTAGCATCTCACTATCCATTATTTAACTAGCTAATGTACATCATGGAATAATTGCTTGAACGGAACAGTGTTGCATACCGTAAGGCATACAATCAAACCTAAAAGATGCATTTCAATCATTGTGTAGGAGTAAATCTATAATGAGATTTTGACCGACATACACAATATATATCAGCACATGAAATCTGTAACCAGGGTTTATTGCAGGAATGAAAACTTAGTACCCTTTTTTGGGGGAAATATGCACGGTAGTCATGCATGATCTGTTCAAGCAAGGGCTGCAGGCCCGAGCCAGGGGGAGAGTACAAGAGGGGGCATGGATTACATCTTTAATTTTGTTTCTCGCTGTTCATTATAGACTTTAAAATATCAGCAGTGACAATTAACAACAACACAGGGAAAATGAAATAAATTACTCAGTTGTGGAGGAACTGATACAAAATTTAAAAAAAAATGGAACCAAGACAGATATTCATGTGGAAGTATTTTACTTCAACCGAGGAAGGTAAATACAAATAGGTAAGTGATGGAGTGGCAACACCAAGGATTCCGTAAAGGTAGGTTTTATTTGGTTTACATGTTTTGGATGGCTAGGCCAACCGTCATCAGCAATTTTACATATAGTAAGTCTGGAAAAGTTCTCCAAATGGTGTACACATGGATTGATATTCTTTTTAAAAAATAATGATGTAAAAAAGATTGGAAATTTTTACATTTATAAAAAATGAAAATAAACATCTAACTGTATGCTTTTTGTAGTCAACTTTACATTAAACCTTATTGTTTTATGCGACTTTGCTTTAATTTAATGAAAATTGAAATCTGAGAAAATATAGCTCAATACATCTATAATGTAACTTGTTATAGGTGAATAGGCCTACTTGCAGTATCCTCGGGTTACCAGTTTCTGCGCACTCAAGAAGCAATCGCAATTTCGTACTCATATCGGCATAAAACTGTTGAAATTACGGATGACTGTCATAAACATGTATACAATCTACTAATGGAAACAAAAAATTAGCAACATAAAACTGTATTTTAAAAATATCAAAACAAACAATTTTTAACAAATATAAGTAGCTGCCATATGTTTCCGTGTGTATATTTTTTTATTTTTTTTTATCTTTGATTGTCAAATTTATTATCAAAACAATTTTTATAAATTTCACATTTTTAATTGATTTTTCAAGTTGTCAAATTGAACGAATTCATGTTATTGTATAAATTTATTTATTTTATTTATTTAGTTATAAAATAGAATCTGTTATCATTTTTTTCTGCAGTCTTAAATCGGTTTTGGTTGATGGTAAGTTATTTCTCATTTTGTTCTGTCAATAATTGTTGAAAATTGGAAGTTCATTGCATTACAAGGTTAATATTTCATTGAAAACACTGTTTATCGATATAAGAATGTCTCCTTGGCTCTTCGGAAGTGGAAAAATGGCCTCATATGCATACAACATTTTCGTACGTTTGTCATACTACAAATATTGTGCTTTTTTAATCAGTGATTATTTCTGATGTTTTTCAGACGAACTTCCGGTAATTTTTGTGTCAGTTTACAGACGATGGCCAAACGTCTAAAATATCCTTGTGTTGTGTCCAGCAGGTCACGTAGTTACGAGATATAGCTTGATAAAATGGCTGCGCGGAAATACATAACGCGCGGAAACTGATGACTAGACGATATTTAAGCTCTCCCCTCCCCCCCTTTTGGCGGCGGACTGACCTTTTCCGGGCCGGCCCGAAATGGTCTGATCGGCCGGGAATGGGAACATATTAACATTTTAAAATGCATCAAATAATGCACGGAGCTTGTATAAAAAAAAATCTGGGGCTACGCCCACACATCCCATACGGCATCCTAGCAAATATTGTTGGTTTCTGTTATCCGATATTTTTACTATATATTCTTTATTAAAACAATATTTTTTGGCATCACTACGCTCGTCTACTTTGTATCTTGACCCTAAAGTGTGTTTTTTATTTTACCACCTTCACAAAACCCCAAGTTGCAACTTGCAACGCTTGGCAGAAATATACTAGCATAAGTTGCATAATTCTATTATTGACCACTCATTATAGATGATCTGAAAATTAATTCTTTTTATTGTAACCTTCCTAACCGCCCGGGAGATATTAATCATATCATTATACAAGAACGATAAAGTTTTTTTTCGGCTGACAATTATGTATAATCGACTAAACATATCCATACGCACAAGAAAGTATCTTCACACAGCATACTATTGTGTACGTAGTAATAAGTTGTACTACCAGAATGAGATGATACGCTGTACTTACAAGTATGATAATTTTAAATTTAATTTAAAGGTGACGCGTATGTGCCTCCTAAGTTGTACCATTTTAACCAGATAGCTTAGCAAATGTACCACAATATGCACGCCCTTACATGAGTTAATCAGCGTGGACATTTCAGATATACCATTGTCTACACTAGTGAATTAGTCAACAATTAAAAAACGCGAGACTATATAGCTAGTGGCCTTGGGTGTCGCACTGATTTGAACTTATCTGTTTGTTTAGCAACTTAGTGATGCCATGAGTAACTCATTAATTAAACAGCAACGATGTTATTGTGTTATTTGTTCTTTTGTACGACAAACTATTACATGAAGTACTGTACTGTAGGTACCACGTCTGAAGACTAGATATTGTGCGTCCCTACATTTATTTTTTGACGGTGGACCTCTCGTATCCCCCTTGCCGGGGGGACGCCAAATTAGGTAATAATGAACAAGCCCCCTGTGGATTCATACATTTGTCATCACCAGGTTGCCCCGATAATAATACCATCTGACTTCTAAAACACGCTGTTGATGGAGAATTTGAACCGAAACTTTAATTTTCTTTCCAATACACAAAAAAGGTCTTTGGGCCATACTTAAAATATGTTTTTTTCTTCTTGTTAATTAAACATAAAAACAATCCTCAGAACATGGGAAATCGCTTCTGAGACGTTCTAGAAAACACAATTTTTTGGGGGGAGATCCCCCAAACCCCCCTTATGGAGGGGGAAGACCCACTCCCGTACCCTCCCCCTCCTCGCGCTCGGGGTGCTACCTTTGGCAACACACCGTTGACTATTGCGACAAATTTCTCGCCCCCCTCCCCCTTTTAGGAAATCCTTGATCCGCCCACAGGGTCACGTTACAAATGTCTGAAATACACATATGCTATACTGATACGGGTCACAACACACATAAACATACACGTGTGTTGTGACCCGTATCAGTAGGTGTATTTCAGACATTTGTAACGTGACCCTGTGATCCGCCCCTGGCTATGTCTTAGTGTAATATGATAGAAACACGATATCTTACCGATGTCTTCTGCATCGATGTCTGAGAAACTGGAAGGCGCGTCGATGTTTCTCATTTAATGAAATGATGAGTTGTTCTTCCTTGTTTAAACCACAGTAATCTTGACCGGATTGTTTACGTTGCTGTTGCTGAAACTGTGTTTCTTCTGTTTAAACTCAATCTCGCTCAGTCTCCAAAATTTAATTTCATTAAAACTGGGATACAGATGAACTTAATATTTATCACCGAATCACCAAAATATTCATGAATTGTCCAAGTATCAATAAGACATCCTCGACGGACTGAGCCTACCACTCTACGTGACGATCAAGCTCCTAGTTGTGGCAGACGTGCGCGGAGTCGCGTAGAAAAAATATAGTCCGTTTCAGAATTTAATTTACGAAGAATTTTTAAAGATGCGTTGGCCTTGTATGGTATAGTTCTGTTTCACATTTTCCTTTTCTTTTCAAATTGTGCGAAAATCATCAGCATGTGAGATAATTGTGTCATTAAGATATATTTATATTCACAGGTGTATATATTTCATTTTACAGTCAGAATTTCAAACACCTGTGGTATATTATCATTGCTATGCCGATGACACACACATTTACATGGTCACAGTTTGTATTCTTCGTACCGAGTGTGGTTCTTAATGACGCTTTTCTTGATGCCTTTGGCTCTTTTCGTCTCGACGTGGGTAGTGGTTTCTACCTCCTCCCCGTCTACTTCTTTCTTTGTTGTTATGTCGTAGACAAACGCCTAACCATTCGAGATACTCGGGCCTCTAGAGATAACAGCTGTACAATCAGGGGCGTTTCTAGAATATTTGAAAGAGGGGGCGTAGAATCTGATCTTTCGCCGAGCGGAGCGAGTCGGAAAAAAATGGACCTTTTTTTGCTAAAATACATGAAATAATTGTGAAATGCACTAATGTAACGGTTCCTGACTTGGAGCATGTATATTTTATAGTTAAAGTGTCAGCGTTTGACATTTTTTATGCCGAATTCTCTCCATTAATTGTCTATGGTATATTAAAATGATTGGATGGATCTTAACAGCAGTAGACCAATAACGAGAAATTCCAAATTCTAGGGTATAAGGCGTTACTTAACATTTCAATCGTCCTAGGCCAGGATTTCATGAAGGGGAGGCGTAATAACGGTTGCCCTGGTAGAGGGTCCATGGTTGGGTTTTTTGGGTGTTTTTTTTTTAAAGGGGGGGGGGGGGGTTACGCCCATTACGCCCTCCCCTGCCCCGCCCCTGACAATATTGTGTATGTACGGTGTCTTATCGGTTCAGTAAACACGCTAAAAATATACACTCAGCGTGAACGCATATACGTATACAACCGCTTCAGTAAACACGCTAAAAATACATACTCGGAGAGACCATGGTTGTGACCATTTGTAGCCGATTTAATCGACATTTTACGTCAATTTATTACAATAATGGCATGGATTGTATTTAAGGATGTACACAAAAAGGTGTGTTTATCTGTATACCAAATACAGCTTGGTAGCATTGATACACAGTACATGTATATTGGTTATATCATAGGAACCGAGCAATATGTTAGTTATTGTACGAGAGGGGCGGAGCTACTTCTCGAGCGCGTAGCGCGAGAGATGTAAGCTCCGCCCCTCGAGTACGATAACTGACATATTGCGAGGCCTATGATGTAACCGACTTGTCGCATTAAGTGTCACGTAACAATCTAAGAGACCATTTGGTCATTAGAAAAAAAATGTTTGCAACATGTCGGACTTCATCTCAAACTCGAGGCCAAGTTTGGCACACATTGACGTTGACGACCTCGACGATATTCATTTGTCTCAGTTGATGACTCGCATTGAAAGTGGTCCAGAAAAAGGTAAAAATTGAGGACGCTACATGTCAAAATGTTAACTCAGATATTAAGCCAACTAATGTGAATATTAACATGCCTACAGAAAAGGACCATGTTCCATTTGCTGATATTTCTAATATGTCCAGAAATGTGATGGACCGTGGAACCTGTCTGTAAAGGCGCAATTTGTTGAATTGTTTGCAACAATGTTGCTTAATACAATGTGTTTGAACTTCCTGTATTTGTACAGAGGCGTATACTGTCCCTGATTTGTATATTTAGTTATTTCCCACGGTGTCACTAAAAGGCCTCTGTACACTTTCATAGGCTGACCAATGAGAATGGAGAACTCTATTGTATGCAGTATAGGGGAGGAGCCTCACTATTAGTAAAACGGTGTGAAATAAGTTGGTTATACCATAGCTAGATCAAAGGGAAAGTGACACGTCTATGCGACAATCATACATGTTTGACCTAATTTTACGCCTAGGAGGTTTAGATAGACTCGTCCTCTCGTTTTTTCTTTGCTATAACATTCGATAATTAATTCTATTAAACGTATTGTACATATATGTCATTTATCGTTCGTTTGTTTGTTTTTACCATAGAGTTTTGTTGATATACAAAGTAACATCAATTTTTCACTTCGACATTGTGTTCCAGAATATTCCATCAACCGGTTATTACCAGTTATGCTATTTATAGACATGACGATACGGAAATACCCAACACATCTGTACCCCACGCTAGGGGGGTACATCATAGGGGGGTTTGGGGTACTATCACGGAATTAAATTATCGAAGTCCGTGGTACTATAGATTATATAGGCGGGTGGCTGAACCCTCATTTCCCTTACTACTCCTGAGTGAACGACGACAGTGTGTTGCCATCGGATCTGCCACATCACATGACAATGTACTAGATTTTGGAGTTCCTCAAGGGTCGGTGTTAGGACCATGAAAATATTGTATGTACTCCAAACCGATTGGAGAGATTTGTCGTCGCCATAGCCTTCGCTATCATTGCTATGCCGATGACACACAAATTTACATGGTCATAAAACCACAGGACAGTTGGAATACAGTCTCAGAAAGTCTGGAAGCTTGTCTGACAGATATCAGTATCTGG